ACACTTAGTAGCTGCATGACCCTAAGCAAGTCACTTAACCCTATTTGTCTCAGTTTCCCCATCTGCAAGATGAGCTGGAGAAGGAAATGACAAACCACTCCAGTATCTTTGCAAAGAAAACCCGAAATGGGGTCAGAGTCAGATATGACTGAAAAACAAAATATACAAGGAAGACAGGACAAATTTTAAGTAACTTTGCCTGAATACTCAGGAGTTACCTAAGGGTATCTGACAATCTAGCCTTTAAATAGCAAACAAAAAAATTAGACAAATTTAACACCAAGTACAGAACAGACATAATAGTAGCTTTTGATCTAAATTCATTTGGGTGGAGGTAGGGGTGGGGGAGAATGTGCATACCTTTACAAAAGATTTGTTAAATTGGATATTCAGCTGGCTATTAATTGTTGGTCCACAAATAATGATGAAGAGAATGGGCAAATATGAGGACCACAATACTTGCCCACAACTTTTGGAATCCTCCTCTCCCTAACAAAGAATGATCCTCCCAACACTCCTGATTCAGCAACCAGAAATAAGTAAGTTTGGTAATAAATGAGGTAAAGGAGCATGGTGACCAAGTGGGATTCACAGGTCCACCAAAATGCAAATTAGTACTTTTCTTTTTAGTCCTAGATATATATAAATCAGAGACAAGAAATCAAGTAAATACGAAGACAGTACTTAAACATTAATTTCTAAGTTACATATGAGACAAAGAAAAGTATCATTTCTCAAAAAAAAAAAATCCATGCTTCTTAGGGAAAAGTAGTCAGAAAAAAATTACAAGTGGATGTCTTAAGAGCAATGTCCTGACATGAAAGGTTTAGGTAGGGAGGGAATTCTGAGAAAAAAAAAGGAAAGAATTCTAGGATATATATGACATCTTAGAAAAAGACTCAAGTAACTTCCAAGTTATTAACAGGTTAATAGGATAAGGGGATGATACTGCTTTAAAGGGCCTTAGGAAACTGATAAATGTGGAAAACAGCATTAAAAAAGTAGAAGGTTTAAGTATATAAATAAAGAAACAGCTCCAAAAAGTACTCTGACATAATACATTGTTTATTAATGTTTAAATTTTAAACAAAAAAGTAAGCTAATACAATGTCTGTATGGAGTGGAAGGGAAGTGTTCACATGTGCATGAGCATATCTTCCAGTTGCTGCATGTGACCCAGCCTGTGCCAGAATCTCCAGAAGATGGACTCCATTTTCAAACAATTCTGTGAGAGAAGCTGCAAAATTGAAGCTAGTTATATTTACAGTTTTAAATTCACACTCCAAAGTGTATTAAACACTTAATGAACAGTATATATTTAAAATAAATTTTGCATTTACATAAGCAGCTTAAAGCTTCTACACAAAGGTCTGTAAACGTAAGATACACACGTGGACAATTATTTTAAGTGTGCCACACTTTTAAAATAATAACATTTAATAATTCTAAAGTAAATATCCTACACTGATTCAAGTTCTAGTTCTTTCTTAATTTTAACTTTTCTTCTTAGACGTTAGCTCTCTTCATAATTGGAAACATCTAAATCAAAAAAGGCCACTCAAATTTTCTTATTCTTATTAATAATTTACCTGCTGAAAACTGCTCTGTTCATTTTAACTAGGCTGAGCTCTGAGTTTTGCTGTTACACTGAAATAGTCAAACTTAAATAGAAATTTGGTGAAAATTTCTCAAAGGTACATATTTGTTTGCATATTGTCCTCCTCATTAGAATATGAGCTCCTTGAGGGCAGGGACCATGTTTTTGCCATTTTTTTCATCCCTATGAGTCAACACAGACTGGGCACACAATATGCACTTAATAAATGTTTGGAGACCATCCAACTTGAATAAACTCCAACTTCCTTACCCAGGGATTCGAGGCTTTCCAAATCTTGCTTGACTAAACTGCTTTATATAATAGACAACGCTGAACAAAATTCCTATTTCTCTAATGGAAACTAGAATACTTTAATATTACACTGGAAGTAAATTTAATACAGGTCATTTGTACAATACCCTTGGCTACAAAATAAAACTACACGGCAAAATGTTACTAAGGTTACAAAAGGTTATTAACACTTGATTCTACAGTATACCCATATAACTTTCCATATCTTCAATATAGAGACCAAAAAATCTACACTGTGTGATAAATTCAAACACAATATATTTCAGTTTATGTCCAAATAGGAACTACAAAAATTACCTGAACAGAAATTACAAAAAGCTATGACCTACATTTTACATAAGAGCCTATACACAAAAATAAGTTCAATACGAATACAGTTTCAACTTTAATGTGCTATTGGTACACTCAAAATCAAAAGCCCAGCTTTTCCATTTCTTATGGAAATACCACAGTAATTTGTCTTCGGTCAAAATGCTATGCAAAACAATGAAACGTGCATGTCTTTTGTTCTGAAAGTGCATCTGAAGAACCTTGCTGTTAAAAATGAACGTTTGTTGAAAGGCTTTTTGGGAGTATATGAATGTACTTGCAAAGGTATCCTAAATATATGTTTGTCTGATATAAACAAACATTTTATCCAAGCCTTCTTCCTAAGAAAACAACTTATGAATCCAAAATCTGTTTTATTCCTCTTGTTATGCATGCCACCTATTTCAGCTTCCCTTTTCAAAAGATAACTGAACTGGTACAAATGAAATCCTATGTTATATACAGTTTATTTTCATAGTATTAAAATTTTTTTTTTCAGGAGCCAATTTGCTAAAAGAAGTGAGGGAAATGAGAACTGTGACAATAAAACACTTTCATGACATTTATCGAGTTCTCACTAGCTCAAGGGCTAATATAAGCAATCCTGAATTCAAGGGGCTTTCAATCTGGTACAGAAGATATGACACCCACAGACATCCAAAAAATATACTAGCATGGTTATGTGAATAGGCAATGTGGAACTTACCCTTACCACAAAAATAGTATATAAAACAGTATGTGCACTATACACATAAGTACTGAAAGCCAAAAGATGGCATCCAACTATTTGGGGGGCTTGTCGGTAACCACTTCAATATTTCCCCCTACAACAGAATCATTATGCTTTTTAAAAAATCACCAAGTTATTGTCTGGTATTTAAAATTCATCTTTCTTCAAAAAAAAGTAATGGAAAAATGTACTTATCAATGAAAAATGTTTTCTACACAAAATAGAGTGAAGTCCATATTAATGCAATTCCTGTAAATGGGTCTACTTTTAATGCAAAAAGAGCTGAACGGCATTCTTTAAAATATACGTAACCTCATAATACAAACCTTGATTGTTAGTTATATCATGTCTTTGAGAAAATAAAGAGTTCAAGCTGTTGTTTAAAAAAAAAACTTTGTTAAAGAAGGCTACAAAGCAGAATATATTTAAAAATGAATGTGAAGTAGAAGTAAAAGGCTTCAGTAAAATAGAGAAAATAGATTTCAAAAATGCAATTTAAGTTAAACCTATTTCACACTCAGAAATCACAAACTTATCAGCAGTCTTTGAATTTTAACTGTTTTAAGAAGTTTTATTAAAATTAATTCCTTAGTCTTTAAATTAACAGACTATCAATTACATTTATAATTAAATTTTACTAATCAGCTAAATAATACTGCAGCTAAAGCAGATAGATCCTTCACACGCAGCTGTATCATCAACCTATACTTTGTTCCTTTTAAAACTATTTTTAAAACATCAGCATCGCCCACAGAGATATGTACTCCCCCACATCTGAGCAACCAGAAGAGAAATACACAAATGAGTTTCTCATTTCTACACAGATATTCTACACCCCACATATAAAAGTTACATGTACAAGTTCCCACTTGAGCACACCTACAGTTGGTTGGTTCGCTCACTCACTTTGCTAAATGCATTCACTTCTTCATAAAACAGAAATACTAATTAAGTTCATCAAATCTCCTAACACTAGCCATAAGAACTCATTTTGCACACACTTTCAGGGTCACACTAGTTTCATGTCCACAAAAAAGTAAGTCTCTTCTATTTTTCCTTAAACACTCATCACCTATCCTTGTGAAAGGACAGATTCCAACCCAGAATACCCAAGGATATTATTGCAATTTGCTTTTTTTTTTAAATGAGAGAGGGGGAAAAGGCCCAGAAATGGCCATATGAACTTTCCCCTTCCTAGTCCACCCACAAAGCTAGTAGGTCTACATAACCAAGTAGACTGTCAAGCAAGAATCTGGATAAAGGATGAGTATCTTCATTCAAATAAACTCAAGATTTGGAACCTTAACTGTATGGACAACAGTACTGTGCGTTATTGGTTGTACAGTACGGTATAATGTCAATGACATCCCCGTCAAATAATCTAATTTTGCATTAAATGTGATGGTCATAGGGATTCTAGCACATTAAGATATTTCTCCAGTTATTTTTCATATTCATGATCTGCTTTAATATTGAAGTGTTATAGAACACTTCTGACTAAAAAAAAGTACCAATTTTTTTTTAGAACACAGCATAATGTTGTTCTGCAAGGAGTGCAGAGTTTTGCCATACGTGTACGGTGGAAGGGGGGAAGGAGAGGGGTCTGAAAAAGAGACTTCCTCAGTCAATGGAGGGGGTCGTGGGGAGACTGAGGCTCGGGGCCATGCCTGGCCAAGTCGGGTTAGTTTCAGGAGTGTTGGGGAACCTGTGACCGAGCACCTGACACCTGTGCCTGGGGGCCCGGGGCTGAGCAGAGGCCGCGGGGGCCCTGACCCCGGGCGGAAACGCCACCTCCCAACCGCGTCGCAGAGAAGGGCACAACGCCCAGCCCCGTCCAGCGCGGCGCGGGGACCCCCTCCTTCCTTCTTCTGCCGCCGCCGCCGCCGCTGCCTCCTTCTCCCAGCCAGCCGGCCGGGCAGCTAGGCGGAGCCCGCAGACCCAGCTCGGGGGAATCCCACTGGGGCGGGGGGGAGCGGGACTTTGCAGGCAGCACCACCCGGGGCGGGGAGGGCTTCGGACCAGCCTGGACACGGTACATGCAACTGCCGGGAGGCCGCGGGGGGGTGGGGTGGGGAGCCAGCTCTACGCATGTAATGGAGGGAACCAAAAGGGCGCCGCGGGGAGCTGTTCACGGGGCATGCGGATGCGGAGGGGAGGCCTGCTTGTTGCATGCAACTGGAGGAGGAGGAGCTCCGAAGGAGGGAACGGGCGAGCCGGCCGAGGGAGGAGGCTACGGGAGACGGCGCACTCCGGGAAGGAGAGGAAGGGGCCGGCATGCACGCGCCGCCAGCCCGCCCCGGGAAGCTCTGGGAGGAGGAGACGGGGGCGGTTGGCGGAGACACCACTGGCGCTCCCCCACCCCCTACCCAGGTCGCCTTTTGCAGCACGTCCCAGTCCCCTTCCTCCCTTCCCCCAGCCCTCCCCCTAGCCCTCCCCCTCCCCCTGTGGGGGCAGAGGCGCGAGGCTAGGGGGAGGGCGTGGGAATGGCCTGACGCACGCGGCTGCCGGCTTCGTCTCGCGCCGTATTTACGCTGCAGTCACTGCCGCCGGCGGCCGTTGCGGCCGTTGCCGCCGCCGTCGTCGCCGTCGCCTCCTCCTCCTCCTCTCCCCCCCCTCCTGCCGTAACGTCCTGACGCTCCGCAGGGACCCCTGACTGGACGGACGGGTGCGTGAGGGGAGCCGGAGAGGCCTCGCCGCGGGGGGGTGAGAGGGAGGTGAGAGGAAGGGATCGGGCCGGGGAGACCCCACTGTGGCTACCGCTTACCTCGGGGAGAACCGAAACCAGTCTTGCTCAAACGCCCAACGACGGGGGCAGGGAAGGGGACGGCGGCGGCGACTCCGCTGGCGAGGACGGCGGCCACTGGGCTCGCTCCTTGTTGGATATTCGGCGGCGGCGGCGGCGGCTCGGGCGCGCGCTTCCCGGGTGACGCAGGAGGCGAGGGGCGCGCACGCAGGAGGGGTGCGGAAGGGGGAGGGGGTGACTTTTTTGGTGCTCCTGTGGTTTGAAAAGCCTCCGTAGGGAGGCGGGAGCAGGGCTGACTGGGAACTGTGAAATAAGTCCTGGGGCGGGCCTCTACGCGCTTGCGCGTCGAAGGCAGGTTCCATGCTGCAGGGAGCAGCCGCGTTAGCCAACTCGGGCTTCAAGTTGGGTGGAGAGATCAGGGCGTCTTCTCTGGTATCGTCCTGCGCTGAGGGAAGCTGGTTGTGGGTGGGCCGCTAAGTGAAACTGGTGAGGAAAATAGGAAGATATCTCTGATCTAGGGAATGTGATGGGAATGTCCAGAAAGCACCCTTCCCCAAATTCAGCTGTGGGAGCCTCGGTTTACCCACCTGTAGAATGGGCATCATAATACAAGTTATCCCTTTCAACCTTGTAGGAAATTGGACACAGGAATGTTGTATTTTGATGATGGGTCGGAAGTTAAGTTTTCACTTTGGGAGAAATCCAGCAGGCCAGAGTTTCTCCTTGAGTAAATATCCTGCAAATTCCTCAGTTTTGCTTACGGCCGACCCAGCTCCCAAAAACCACATGAGGAAAGTGTGCGTCAGAGCAGTATTTGAACCACTGCCTTTTTGATTCCCAAGTCCAGTATTTTATTTATTACTCTATTCTGGTAAGTATGTATGGGTGTTATTGTTCCCAATCCCTGTGAGAAAAAGCTTATGTGGCTGCATGTGTAAGCCCTTGAAATCTTGAAGAATCACTCCTGAAAACACCGTGTACTTTCTCATTGTTTGCTTAGAAATGCCTGATAGTTACGCGGCGTAGCAAAATATTTGGGTCACCTGGAGAAACATTTGTTCTTTCTCCTCCTGCCCAAGGTTCCAACTTGACGTTTCTGGTATCTCAATGCCTTAATTCTTAGAAAGGTTTCTTTAGTTAGATGTGTAATCCTCAGTCCTTTAATTCTGTCAAATTGTAGGTCTTTCTTGCAGCCACCATGGAGAGGTATCCAGAGTAGGGGGAGTAATTTCCTCTTAATAAATTGTTTGGGGATGCTAAGGTAAAGAAGGTGGGACTCTAGGATTGCACTTTACCACGATCCTGAAGCAATAGCGAGCCCAAGGGGCAGCTGGATGACGAAGTGGATAGAGCACCGGCCCGGGATTCGGGAAGACCCAAGTCAAAATCTGGCCTCAGACACTTGACCCTAGCTGTGTGACCCTGTGCAAGTCAGTTCACCCCATTGCCTCCCCAATATATGTAACAATAGCGAGCCTAGCTCCTTGATTTTTTTTTTTAACAAAGGCAGAGTGTTCCATTATGTAAGCCAGAGAGGAAGTAGAGATAGTAGAAGTGAAAGTGGTCTTGAGTCAGAATATCCAGGTTCTACTTGGCTCTATTCTGGAAAGTTCTAATTTTTCTGAGCCCAGGTTTCTTCACATGTGACGTAGGTAGAATAGATATGATTATTCTCATCTCATCAAGTTGTGAGAAAAGTGCTTTGTAAGCTTTAATGTGCTACATAAATTATTATTCCAAAAAGATTCCCCCAACTGTACTTGTAAAATTTAAATGGACTTCACTTAGTCCAAAGCAACATGGGGTTTGCATTTAGGGGTGTGTGTACATGTCCTGTATTACAAAAGAAGCTTAGTGAAATTATTCCCTGAAATTATTCCACTTGTAAAAGGAACCTGTCCTTTAAAATAGTCGCTTTATAAAATATAGTAAAAGATAAAGCTTTTTTTTATATCTTTGCTCTGTATTTGTGTTGATTTGGTTTTGAAAACCAAAGGCAAATAGTAATATATGAGTAATGAAGTATTACTGTTTGATCAAAAATAATGAATATGGTGAATATAGAGAAAGAGTAAGGTTTATATAAATGGTACAAAATGAAGCAAAATCACGTATACCAGGTCTGCTATGTTGTAAGTGGATGTTATTCATTTACAAAAGAAAAACTAGATGGAACAGTACCTGGAGTCCTGGGTTAAAATCCAGCCTCCGACATTTACTAGTTTTATGACCTTTGGTAAGTCATTTAACCTCCATCAATTTCCTCAACTGTAAAGTGGGAATAATGACAGCACCTACCTTACAAGGATGTTGTGAGGAATAAATATTTGTGAAAGTGCCTAGCGCATGGTAGTTGTTTAATAAATGCCCATTTCCTTCCAAAGTGGAGGTGAGACTGTAACTCCTTATTTTTTTTTAGCAGAGATTGAGGACTATGAGTATGGAATACTGCTTAGAATGTCAGGCTTTTTTGATATATTAGTTACTTTTGCCAAACTACTTTTTCCTCCTATTTTTATAGGAATGGCTCCGAGAGTGGGAATGGAGTATAGAATGGAAAATGTATGTGATGTAATATCAAAACATGTCAATAAAAACTGTTTTAAAAGCCAAAGAAAAGATTTTGTAGTTAAAAGAAATATGTAGGCTACATAACTAAGGCAAGTTTAACTTGCTTCAGCCATTTGTTTTAAAGCTAGTTAATTTGGGGGCAGCTAGGTGGGGAAGTGGATAGAACTCTGGCCTTGGAGTCAGGGAGACCTGAGTTCAAATCTGGCCTCAGACACTTGACACTTACTAGCTGTGTGACCCCAGGAAAGTCACTTAATGCCAATTGCCTCACCAAAAAGCAAAAAAATAAAATAAAACTAATTAATTCATCAGGTGGTTCAGATATCTTCCAGTATTTTACTATAATAAAGTCTCATTCCAAAATGTATCAAGTTATGTCAGTGTAGGGTGTAATATGATACTTTTCATTATAGCAGTTAACATGTATTCTGAAGAGTTGGTCTGGTTCATTCATATATATCCCTGTTAGCAGCCAGAATAAGTCTTGAAAGCAAGAACAGCATGAAGTAAATGTTAACTATTATAACATAGATGTCCTAGAAATTTGGAGGTTGTATTAGATCAACATAGATAAAGTTTATTAGTTCAGTATTTGGAGGCCTTTAATAGAAACATCATGTTTGAGAAATTGATTAAGCACCTATACATTCTTAGGGAAACATGAGGCTTATCTTCAATCCAGCCTAGTGGTGAAGTAATTCTTGATTCCTTTTTAATTAGTTAATATATACATCTAACTTTCTGGACATAACAGATTTTCTTTAGTTAAATAAAATGGAAGCACATAGTTTAATACCAACTTTATTCTTTTTTTATCATCACTTCTTTTGCACAACAACAACCTCAAGTTGACAATGAAATGCACTAAAGGAACTAGATGACATCAGATTGGTAGGAATCCGTCACAAGCTTCTTGTTCTATATATTTGAAAGCTGTACACCCGTCTTTTAAGCAATGGATCCTATGTAGGCCCAGTGACATTAAACCCAAACTTGGTCCATTGAGGGCTGTGCAGAGTGCCCTTTTGGCTTTGACTTTCTTTGTCAGTAGTCTGGTCTTTTTTAAAAGAAACTGCATTAGTTACATAGAGGATATGATCCACCAGCTTATTGATAAAAGAAGCATTAATAAGTGGCCAGCACTCCCTCTTTGTTCCACAAAGGACACCAACAGATGCATTATTAGTCCTAATATATCACTTTATCCCCTAGCATGGTTAGGAACTAAATCACTATAGCACCATAATCAGCCTTTGCCTGACCATGTGGGGATAAAAGTGTCAGTGTATACATAAAACATGGATGTACATGTCTGCACATCTATGTACTTCATAGTGTATGCATACACATTACAGATGTATGTTTGAAATAATGCAGGTTGGATAAAATGCTAGGGTACAGCAGACAAAGGTGAACTATGCAATTAGAAGACCACGTTGGCCCAGTGACCAACCCAAATGAAACATTGAAATTTCAGTTTTAAATGGATACTTATAGTCCTTGTATGGAGTGTGTATTAATTTGTAAACAACTACTTACACTGACAGTCTGCAATCAGTATTTCTATTTTATCCTTATATTTCTACCACAAAAAAATGTTTACAACAAAACCAACCTCCCTCCTACCACATGACTACAAACCAGGACTACCCTGATTTGACAGTTTTTTTGGGAGGGGGTTGCTTAACCAAAAATTTAAAGAGGAAATGGGTTATAATTGCAAATGTCCTAAAACCACAGATCCCTGTCAACACACACACACACTCTTCCCAGAATAGCTAATCTCATCTGACAACTCTGCACAGAGAAAATGGCATTGGATTGGCTTTTTTTTCCTGCTTACACCCTTTTACAAAATCCCAATCTATTTTCTGACATTTTTACTTCTGCAGGATTTCCAGTGATATCTTTTTTTTTTAATCTCCCTTATTTTCCTACTTTAAAGCCATGAAAAGCTGTGATAGGAAGTAGTCAAAAGGAAACAGTTCTATTTCCTACCTACTCATGGGATTGCTGTTTGTGTCATACAATTTAAGGCTTCCCAACCAGCCTTAAAGAATGATTGATAATGACCAGTGAGCTAGTAGGAAGAGGGAGGATAGTTAAGGTTTTTTTAGTCAGATGTAAGGGGCAGGCATTGTGCCTTCTCTAGGAATGGGATTTGAAATCTGGGTAAGCTCAGAAATGGCTTGCAAACATGATTGAAGGAAGGTATAACTCTCCAAATTGTTGATCTTATACGAAACCAGCAGTAGTACTGTTGTGCTTGAGGGGTCAGGAACAACTTCCAGCACTAAAGATAATTATCTTTAATTTCAACTGAGATCTGCTGCACAGCTAAGGGATATTATCTGCCTATTTACAATCTAGGGAATGTCGGGGGTTCAGCACAACATGAAGTCCCCATAATTATTTTTTAAGACTTGCTGTTCCTTAGTAAACAGAGGTTGGGAGACAGGGAAAGAGTAAGGTTATGGGAAGTAGGTGAAAAGATGGAGGCCTGTCCCAAACTGCCCACTCCTGACACAAGCTAACCAGATGACCAGCTTGGACAGTAAGAGTGAGTTAGCAAGAAATCAAAGCAATCAGCAAAGCCACTAAGAAAGAGCTGTTGAGGAATTGCATTGACCTTCCCTAATTAATGCTGGATCATATCCTCAGGCAACTGATGAGGGCATTGGAATGCTGTGTGCTATGAAGCAGTTGAACTGTATTTCCTAGAGAAACCTAGTAGCATCCAAGGATTAAGGTAAGGAATATGAAGTTTTCTATTAAGAGAAATATGGAGCCTTGGTCTTGATACTTCTATCTTGACCATTTCATTTTCTTTTAAACTACATATGTCTTAGGCCTCAACAGGACTCATGAGGAAAACTGATTACCATCAGTTGCTACTCCCAGGAAATTGGTAGTTTAGGCTAAATCCTCTGAGGCAGCACTGGCAAACATCCTTGGCTTTAAGTCCAGATCTACTCATAAGGCCTCTTTCAACCCCAACTCAATATCCTCCTTTTGAGAGTGGCTTCTGTACCTCGAGGCTGTCCTGTTTCCTAACTAATAGCTTTCCCATCCTTGTCAAAAGGGAAAATGGTTTTGCTGTGTTGTATTCAAACTCATGAGTACAACATTTCTTAGAATTATCACTAATAAAAAGTATTTACAAGTTTCAGTTTGGAATTATACCCCAAGCAAACAATCATAGAGTAGTAGGACAAAGTTAATAAATTGCAGACAGTTTCCCATATCCCAAAGATGTAGGATACCAACATTTGGACCGTTTCAACCATTACTTACACTCTAGCACACACATACAGATTTTATTACTATTTAACTTAAGTAGTTCTTAACTTTTAAATTTTACCTTATTATATGAAGAACATGAGTCTGAATTTTAATAAATTTCTGCTATGAGAGTTGCTACCTGCTAGTAACTGGTGACAATTAAGAAATTCAACCTTCAGTTCAATTTTTTCTTCCCTTTTGCTGCCCCAAGCAACTTTAGCCTTTGGCCACGGCTAAATCCTAATCATGGCTTCCAGCTCCCTATGGAGGCAATCTTGGTGGTGAGTCTTCAGCAATTTTAGGAGAAATACTACTGCTAAACTTGTTCAGCTGTGGGGACTCGGTTTCTTTAATGCTGAATGGCTGGGGTCCCTCCCCTGCCCAGTAGATTTAAGTCATACCTAGCATTGGAACATGAATGAAACAGAAAGTGGCACCAACTTCACCACTTCCAATATAAAGGAAATTAAAAGTAGCTCATCTTTGCAAAGAGGGTGGGGAGCAAATTTACACCTGGTACAGTTAGCCAAAAGAACTCCAAACACGTGATGAATATTTGTATGAGTATTAGATTAACAACTTAGTGTGAAAGGAATATTTTGGCCAACGTGAGATAACTCTGAATGTCTACCTGCCTTGGTTTTTACTCATGCAAGTGCTTTAGGAGGTAAAAGGAATTAACCTAGTTTTTTGTACTAGATTCAGCAAATGTATGAAAAGGAAAATTTGTTCAGTTCCCAGATTAATTTAAACAAGGCTGTAAGGTGGCCTTTACATTTTAAGAGAAAGGAATTGTGACATTAAAGATGATCAGCCCCACTGGAACTGACAGAGAGGTTTGGGATTTTTTTTTATTGTTTATTTTTCCCATCAGTAAAATAGAAAATATGATAAGCTATGTTTGGGCAAGATTCAGTTAAGGAAATATTTCTGTGGATTTCAGCCCTTTTCAACTCTTCCCCAGACACTTATCATCAGATAATTGAATCTATTAACTTTGTGCTACTGCCTGACCTTGAACAAATTATCTGTGTGCCTCAGTTTCCTTATCTGTAAAATGAGAGAGTAGGATCGGGTGACCTCTAAGATCCCTGCCACCTCCAACTCACAGGGATAGACCATGAGCCTATGATCTATCCGCATGCTACCTATGCCATATGGAAGAATCCTCAGCTGATGTAACTTAGTTATACTACCAGAGAGTTGAGTGCCAGAAAGAGGTGAATAAAAACAAATATTTAATAAGGTTGCTAAAAGTTAGAAGCAAATGGTATCCAGTTTCCACAAGTTTTAAAAATATAGGAAGGAAAAGAATTAAAATCTTTATTGTCCACCAAGCATAGAATAGAAGATCTTAGTGGATAGAGGGGACAACCTTGGAGTCTGGAAGTTCTGAACTCCAATCCAAACCTATGACAGACAAGCTGTGTGACCAGGGAAAGTCACTTGACATTTCAGCACTCTAGGCAACTCTTGGTAAATTACAGATGAGTTGCTAAGATCAAAGTCACAAATCTGAGCTAATGGCCACCAAAGAAACCACAGTTTGGCTTTTTTAAAAAGATGAAAGGTCTAGGTCATGCTGAGTAATTGCCTTTTATTTTGTCTTCTAGTATTCAGTCTACTCTCACATGTGGTCTGGATCTGGAATCTGTGTCTACCTAGGTTGTTGCTTTCATAGAACAAGTAGACATACCAAAACATCTTTACAGCACATTCTTATATCAGTCCACACTGGTGGTGTCCTCTACAGTTAGCAGAAAACCTGGCCTTCCATCCACCACACAACACTTGTGAGTCTACCCATTGTCCTTTATCTTCCCATTTTTAAGTCCTTTGAAAAAAAATAAACTATGAACTTTATGTACGTCTATAGATGGATAAAGCAGAGCTTCCTGTGAACTTTTCTTAGTAGTGCTTGAGGAGTTAACTGTGTTAGTAATAATTACCTCTTCATAAAAAGTCTGAAAAGTACCATATAGGATAAGTTACTATCCCACGTTGCAAAGTTTTTGATTTTCAATGCTTTAGATTGGTTTATAATACCTAATCCTCCCTATCCTAATGTTTTTTGTGAAAATTTCTGTCCTAGGTAATAGACATGTCAGTGCTCCTGATTGGAACTGTCATAGACAGTTCCAGGTTTCCCAACTCCAAACTTCATTTCTACCATAGAATGTAGATCTTCAGTCTCCATATCACCTCTGAGCACTGATGTTATGCTTAATAATGAAAAACCAGCCATGAGTTAGTATTTGACATCCATATATTCAGTCCCTCCTTTCTGTTTTCTAGGAATAAAGCTAAGACATAGACTATCTAAGCAAGTCCACTAACAACTATCCCCAGGTTATGTTTATTTTTTGCAACCTCAAGCCTCATCAGGGCTAGAACCAGTAACCCAAAGGGAAACCACCATAATTTTAACTCTCCCACCCAATTTCCTTCCACCTCTAATCCTAAAGACATCTGGATATATTGATTGTTGTTCTTCCCATGGTTTACCATCAGAGAAGAAATGATTACTTTTGATTCCCTGACCCCTAGACACTGAAAGTTGGCTCAGAATAAACTCTCTTAAATGAAAAAAAAAGTATCATGAACAAACTTTGGATAAGAAATCTACATGTCCATGCCTCTGTTGGTTGAATTTATTAATGTCTCCATCTTTTACATAAGTTTATGAAAGATTCCAGGAAGGAACCAAGTGGATTGACTTGTCAGATGATTAATGTGATTGACTGTATATTCATATGAACTAGTGGCTACTCAGTTTAGAGTTCTCCAAGGCCAGCAAGGCCTTCCACAAGGACTGGACAGATAAGGATCCTAAGAGAGAAGCATGAACTAGGGAAGTTAGCATAAGGGTAGGCAGAGGAAAAGGGGGAGGGTAGTGAAGAGACAAAGTTGCATCTAGACAAAATAAAAATGGGGGGGGGTTGTTGTTTTAGATCAGGAACCAGGTGCTAAGCATATAGAAAAGCCCATTAACCAGAGATTTCCTCCCGCTGCTCCTTGTTCCTGCGGACTTCAGCTGCGTGAAGTTCCTGCAAAGACATGGGAAGGGTTAAGAGAGGAAGAAGAGACCACCGCCTAGAAATCCAGTTTTCTTGACATTCTTGTTTTCCTCATTCCTTCATGTTGGGAAGCTTTCTTATACCTAGGTTCAGATCCTTCAGTCCCCACTTCGGCTCCCTATCCTTTAGAGGGGTAGATGAGGTCAGATTAATGGGAAAAACTTGGATTCATGGCATTCAGCTAGCCTAATAGGCTCTTAGGCTTTGTAAGTAACACGAATTATCCCTCCCCATTCTTCCCATCACTCCAATGTGAGTGAGTATTGTGACATAGCAACCAAAAGAACTAATGTGCTTTTAGGCCAAATTAATAACAAGAACAGAACAGTAGTAACAGAAGTATCTACAGTAAGAGAAAGAACTACTGTATTCAGCCCTGGCTGAAATACTGGGTCCAATTCTGGAAGGGTTAGGTCAGTGCCAAGTTTTTTTTGTTTTTGTTTTTGGTGAGGCAATCGGAGTTAAGTGACTTGCTCAGGGTCATGAAGCTTCTAAGTGTTTTGAGGCCGGATTTGAACTCTGGTCCTCTTACAGTGCCAGGTATTTAAATGAGTCTCTTAATTGAGGTAGGAAGGTGTTGGGGTGAGGGGAAGAAGGGAAGAGGGAGAAAAGGCTTCTGAGTTGAAAGATTTCAGCCTGAGGACTGAAAGATTTGAGTTTCAGTCTTCTCTTCCTGCTCCCTGCCCCACCCCATGTACATTATACACAATTGAAAGTAACTAGCCTGGAGAAAACACTTTTTATAAGGGATGTTTATTATAGTTCTAACCCACAAAGCCCAGGTACTAAGGGTCATTAATGAATATAGAAACTGCCTTCTTTCCATTGGTTTTTCATTGGTATCTATCCTATGGGTATTCTTTGCCTGAATGAAGGAGAAAGGGAATAGTAGAATGAGGGGGCAGCAGGCTGCTGGACTCACCTTCTCCCGAAGTCTCTCCCTCAAGGCAGCCAGGTGAGCCTCACGGATCTCCTTACTGAGTTCCATCTTATAGTTGAGTTTCTCTTCAGCCAAACGGCTGAAATTGTTGTTCTCCTCCAGAGCCTTGTGTAGAACCTCTCGCTCATGTTCCCGCTTCTCAGCCAGCTGCTTCAGGACCTGCGCCTCCTGAGTCTGGCAAACCAAATGGTCCCAGGTGAAACCTAAGGATCCATTCTTGAAGGGTCCCTCTTCTTTTCCCTCCCCCAAACATAAAAAGGCTTGGCTTACCTAACTATATAAACAGTTATAGAGTGGTCTTCCCTTGGCAGATACTCGGCAGTAAGGATCAAAGATGTACTCTTTATACAATGTAGGTACATTACACAGAGTAACTTACCTTAACATGGAACACAGTCAATAGAAATGGGGCACCTAATTTGCTGCTTTTTCAACAACGGATTTGTGGTGCTGAAGCTATTCTCACAAACCTCTCAGTTCACAACCTGGAATTAGAAGGTTGTTTGTCCCCATTTCACAAAAGTAATCTTCCCAAAACCACTACTTCAATCATGTCAGTCCCCTGCAGAGTAACCTTCCGTAGTTCTAAAACATCAAACCCTCCAATTCAACAAACATTTATTACACCCTTCATCTTATATGCAAGACCCCACACTGGCACTAGGAGCGCACGGATGAAAATCAAGACAGTTCTGGCTCTTATCACCTCTGACTGGGACACTGCAGTAGCCTCCTAACTGCCTCAGATCTCTGTCTATTCCAGTATATACTCCATGGGGCTGCCAAAAAGATTTTCCTAATTTACCAGTGTTGCCATGCTACCTATATATTCCATAAACTCCAGTGTTACCCCTAGGATCAAACAGTAAAACTCATAACCTGGCCCCTTCCTACCTTTCTAATCTTCTTACATATCAATCCCATCCAAAAACTTTACAATCTAGTCATATTTGCTGTTCCTCACATCTAACACACCACTCTCTGTGTATTTGCATGTGCTGAACCGTATGCCTGGAATGTTTGTCCTTCTGTAACCTTCTTAAGGTTATTTTGTATCTACCTTGTATGCATTTTGTATATACTTAAATGTGTGTACATTGTCTAACCTGTTAGAATAAAAGCTTTTTGAGGACAGACACTTTTTTCTTTGTATTTCCAATGCTTAGTACAGTGCCTGGCATATTGTAAATGTTTGTTGATCAATTGAAACATGGCAACAGTTATATTATTTTGTAATCTTTAACACACACACACACCCCCACCCACCCAGCATAGATGAAGCATTGGATAGAATGTTGAACTTAGAATCAGGAAGACCTGAGGTCAAATCTTGTTTCAGACATCTTCATGACACTAGCAAAGTCACTTAACTTCTCTTGGCCTTAGTTTCCTCATCTGTAAAATGGAAATGATAATATCACCCATCTTACAGAGTTCTTGTGAGGATCAAATGAGATAATGTATGGAAAGAGCTTTGCAAACATTAAACACTACAGAAATGCTAGCTGTTATTATTAGCTTAAGTATTTAATGTTTGTTGAATTGAAAGAGCTGTAATATAGGGCGAATGAGACTATAAACTTTACAGGGTATCCCCAAAGTCTTAGTGAAGTTTTAAGCTTTAATAGCTTAAAACTTTAATATCTTTAAGTTTTAAGAACTAAACTCTGCACTAAGACTTTTGGGATACCCTGTATAATAATAGAATTACAACACAGAAGAATTTAATAGATAGGAAAGGCCCAACCTTATCTCCAGTTACATTCCAAGCATGTGTTCAGTCACCCTATTCTTCTCAGCAATAATAATAGTTTTACCTGCTAAAGTGCTTTACCAGCATCTCTTCCTGCCTAGGAACTTCCTAAAGGAAATGGATATGGATAGGAAAGACATCTAAATCTTTCAAGTCTCACCTCCAAGACGCTTTTCCCAATTACTCTAGCCCACCAAAAGATTCATGATGGAAATGCTATCCACATCCAGAGAAAGAACTGTGGAGCCTAAATGCAGTTTAAAGCATACTATTTTCTCTCTTTTTTGTGTGTGTCTCGTGGTTTTTCCGTTTTGTTCATGTTCTTTCACAGCATGACTAATGTGGAAATATGTTTAATATGTTTGTACATGTATAGCTTGTATCAGATTGCAGCTGTCTTGGGGAAGAGGGAGGGGAGGAAGGGGGGAAGTTTAGAACTCAAAATCTTATAAAAGTAAATGTTGAAAACTAAAAATTAGTTTAAAAAAATTACTCTAGCCCACCCTTCACTGAGCTTTATAGATGTATATACAAGCATCATTTGGGAGTTATTTGAACTAGATATTGTTGTGGGGAAAAGCATTTTGTAAGCTAATGGTAGCAACAACAACAGTATTTATATTTATGTAGTAGCAAATTATTTTTATGGATAGGTAGGTGGTACAAGGGATAGAGCTCCAGGCCTGGAGTCAAGAAGACATCTTCCTGAGTTCAAATCTGGCCTCGGACTAGCTGTGTGACCCTGGGCAAGTCACTTAACCCTGCTTGCCTCAGTTTCCTCATCTGTAAAATGAGCTGGAGAAGGAAATGGCAAACCACTGTGATATCTTTGCCAAGAAAACCCCAAATAGGGTTACAAAGGGTTGGATATGACTGAAAAATGACTAAACAACAGCAAAGTCCTATTTATATGTTTTATGTAAATATATGACAGGTTTATGTATTGAATAACGTATACATTTTACCAAAATGTCATAATATATTATATTTAGGCTCTCCCTGTCTGATGAGCAAGCACAATATTCATTGAAACAGTATTACAGGAGCCAGTTAGAGCTGTTATATAGATATATGGAGGAGAACTTGGTAATAATGTATTCCTTGTCACTGGAGATGCAACTGTGTGCAGCATATTGTTAGTTAACTGAATGATGTATATGACATTGTAAATGCTGAGGGAGGGCCCATGCTCCATACTTCTGGCCCCTGTTTCATCCTGTTTTTTCCCAGCTGTGCCTGTGTACTTGTTACCTACCATGACTGCGATGGCATCTTTCCAGATATCCAAGTATTACAGCTCACATTTTCTATAGCACCTGAGGATTTCTGCCTCACATTTTAATCACAATAACCCTGGAAGGGTAGGTAGTATAAGTCTTCCTTCAACTAATTTTGCAGACAAGGGAATGGAACCTCAGAAAAGTTGTAACTTGCCGGTAGTCATACAACTAGTAAGTTTTACACCGCTAATCAATGTCAAAGGTCATGATTCCAAGTCTAGTCCTTGCCAGTGCGACATGATACTTCTCACTACATTATACCTGCTATAACCTTTCTCCTTTTAAGATCAAAATTGAGTGTCACTCTTCCTTGAAACCTTCACTGTTTCCCTCAGAGAAGAAGCTGGGTGGTACTGGGCCTGGAGTCAGGAAGACCTAAGTTCAATTTAACCTCAGACACTGTGTTACTTTGGGCAAGTTAGTTAACCTCTGTCCACCTCAGTTTTCTCATCTGTAAAATGGGGATAATAACAGCACCTACCTTCCAGCGTTGTTGTAAGAATTAAATGATATAACATTTGTGCACCTTAGCACAGTGCCTGTCACTTAGGCACCATATAAATGCTTATTCTCTCCTCACTACCAATGGTAAGTCCAGTTCAATCTCAGAAGCATTTGCTAGTGTCCACTATGTATAACCTTGTTTGCCTCAGTTTCCTCATCTGTAAAATGAGCTGGAAAAGGAAATAGCAAACTAAGAAAACTCCATAGAGCGTCACATAGAGTTGGACGTGACTGAAACAACAGAACAACTAAGTGTAAGTCACTTGGTTAAGCACTGCAAGTATCCCACAACATTCTATTTAGATATCTGTGTGCTTGTCCTATTGTGGTATATTATATACTTAATATATTTTCCTGATCCCATCACAAGACTGCGAGATTTTTTAGAAGCAAGAACTGTTTGATTTTTGTATTCCCTATGCACAACATAGTACATTTGCACACAGTAGGCACTTAATGTATGTTGACTTGAATGAATTTTGAATACTGCCAGTACCCAGAACAGGCTAGACACAACACAGCTACTCAATAAATACTTGCTGAATTTAACTGAATGGAGTTCTGTTCAGTTGTGTACCAGTCAGCCAGAGCTGAGAACAGATAAGTGATCAAAGCTAAGGAATAGTGAGCAGGTTTTACGAAGATGACCACCCTCTAGAACACTAAGAAGACTAGGTCCTGTTTAGGAAACCACATGGTAGGGAGGCTTTGGCTACAGTGGCAAAGATAAAGGAACAGGACTTAGCATTTCAGGGGTTCAAGGGAGCCAGTGAGGCAGGGAATTTGACAACAGAATTTTCTGAATAATATTAATTCCACTGAGACCGATTGCGTCATGAGACGCTAATTAATTCTACAAAGATGCAGAAAAGTCCCCAAGGGGAAGCCATTGAAGGGGGAAAAAGGCCCTTGTGTTGGGTTATCAGGTGCCTCAGTGTCCATACCCTGAAACTAGAAAAGCCTTAAAAAAACAGCTCTTTTTAAAGTGTTTTCCAAAAGGACTCAGAGAGTAGTTGTCTGTTCTGTCTACTAGATACTCCTGGTCAGTACTCCCATTAGCCCAGGGCTAGAAGGTGATGCTTTGGGATACAGAAGAGACACCACTTCTGATGGACAGTATTAGCTGCAGGCAGTCAGTAGATGTTTATTAAGTATTTAATATGTTGCAGGCACAATGCTAGGCAAGCCCCCATAGCAGTAGTTTTTAAACTTTTTTTGTGTCATAGACCCCTTTGGCAATCTGATGAAGCCTATGGACTCCTACACATTATTGACTGCATTCAAATTAAAGAAGTGCTAAATTTCATGTAGAGGTTAGTAAAAATAAAGATGAAAAAAATGTTCCCACCCAAGTTCACTGACCTTGAAATCTATCCCCAGAACTTTTGAGGTCCTGTGAACCCTGGGTTAAAAACCCTTGTTCTAGCAGCTGGCCTAACATCAAGGGTGAATTAGTAAATATCTAACAACCAGTTCTCTGGGGGTTGAGGAAATGTATGCAAGATGTACTTCTAAGTTTAATCGGCATTATTAACATATTCTCCATCATTTTCTTAAGTCTAGACAATCAACAAAAAACAAATCAAACCCTGATCTGTGTTTGCTGATTTTAGAGGTGTAAATGTCTCACTGAAAATTTAACAACTGGCTTTCAAGAGCCTGTTTGAGCTTGCTTTAACATAGTTCTGTAGTCACTTGATAAATGCCCTGTCACCTGTTAAAGTGCCACATTCTGGGATCCAATAAAGGTGATATTTTTCATGCAAGCTCTCCACAATAGTGTGATTTCCACGGCGATGGAGCTGCCTTTGGTTCCTGCATCAAACTACCAATTCCAAAGGTCCAGGCTGCTGAAGATCCCAGCACCCTTTCTCTAATCCAATAGTCTTGGTAGACAGAGTGGAAAGAACTATAGAAACTACCCTGCATTTTACAGAAAGGCCTATGAGAAGGAAAAGCCCCATATGACTTAAGCCACCAGCCCTGCTGATCAGCATTTTCACAACCAAAACTCTAGAAAGAATAAGGTTGCCAAACTTCTTCATATTTACATAATGAGGTATATGACTGATAGAGCCAGAGCAAGAAAAGCTAAGGTTGTGGCCACCATCATTTGAACTCATGAGCAGGTAGGAGAGAATTCTTTACCTTCCTTCTCTCCTCGGCAGCCTCCAGCCTCTTCTGCAGTTCCTCCAGAGAAATGTCCTTCTTCTTGGGTGGGGAAGAAAGTATAGGACTCTCTGGGGACAGATCTGAAGGTGACTTCAAGATCACCTCAAAGCTCTGGCCAGATGCTCTCTTGTCCAGTTGCTTCACTTCCATGTCTATGAGAAGAAGGCAAGTTTGATGCATTTATCATCCATACTACCTAGGGAAAAGCTGGACTAAGATGAGGGACTTAGAAGAATCCTTAGAAGCCCTTCCTGCAGGGCACATCCATGTTTAAGGCAGCTATGTTGGGGGAGAGGATCATGCCTCAACTTCTGGCTGGATTTTAAATCAGCATCTTCCCTGATATCCTTACTCTATTTTTTTTTTTACTACCTTCCTTCTATTTCTGATTCAAAGCCTCTCGTTCACCATCTGTGCCAAGGATTTTAGCCAGGCTCGTGAACAAAGGGCCAGAGTCAAACATAAAGGCAGAGGAAGGGAACAGTTAAGATTTTCTGGGTTCTTCCTTCTCTCTTCTATGTAATCACATAGCACATATTGAAGGAGATGCCAGAAGTAGTTAACCTCATTTTGTTTCTGACCAAATACAGGAGTGCCAGTTCCTTTATAAGGCAGGGCATCCTTTATGAGCTGGCAGTCAGTCTCCTAGTTTTGAGGCTTTTTGGCATGGCTTGAGATTCTTTTAGTAAAGCCAGAGAGTTATGGGAGTAGGATCTTGCTAGCTGCAATAGTGGTGGACAGGACGCTTACCTCCATATTGGTAAATGGTGTTTGGGTGTGGCTGGGTATAGAAGCAAGAACAGATCAGTGAAAGCACAGATAGCTCCTTCATTTTTTCCTTGTATGCTACAAAGACAAAAATCAGGATAGAAGAGAATGAAAACAATATTCCCTGTGGTCCTCCCAAAAAAACTAACACACTCAGACTCTCTCTTTCTCTCATGCATGCGCACGTGTGCACACACACATACATAATATGTATACATATCATGCAACAGCAGCAGATAGAGCACTGGACTTGGAGTCAGGAAGACCCAAGTTCAAATGTGGCCTCAGACATTTACTAGCTGTGTGACCCTGGGCACGTCACTTAACCCTGTTTGCCTCAGTTTCCTCATTTGTAGAATGAGCTTCAAAAGGAAATGGCAAACTGCTCAAGTATCTTTGTAAAGAAAACCCCCAAATGGGGTCACAAAGAGACTTGACTGTTGTTCATCCTTTGTCCTTGAAGAGGACCAATGGCATCACAGTTGAAACAACTGAACAACCCTGGTCAAGTCATTTAACCTCCGTCACTGATTCTTCAGCTATAGTAAAGTGTTTGTAATAGCACCTACCTTACAGGATGGTTGTAAGGATCAAACGAGATGATATTTGTAAAGCATTTAGCATGGTGCCTGGAACATAGTGGGCTCTTCACAAATGTGAATTTCATTCCAAATGTGAGAGTTCATAACTAAAGGGACAGCTGTAAAAATTCTTAGCTCTCATATCCAATGTACTAAGCCAGTGAGTACAAAACCAAGCAGATGTATCATGGCTCAGTAGTTTAGAGGGAGCTAGAGGAGGTGTTTAGAAGGGAAAAAAAGTGGTGTCTAAGAGGGTTTTGTTTTGGGTAACTGCTACTAACATTGTAATATAGAAATTCTAGATAATGTCAGTTGTCACAACCTTCAGGGAAGGCATACCCAATGCTGAGCTATTTAACTGAAGGCAGAGTAGAATGCCAGTGTTGTAGTGTTGAGCTCAGGAGAATGTATACTCCTAGTGGAATTGGATATTGGATAATTGGACATCAGAAACCAGAAGGTATAGAAGTGGCATGGGAAGTGGAGTAGGTTATATATGTGATTGTGGCCAATGATATTTTCTGAGATTTGGTAAGTATATCTATTGTTTGGAAATTTCTTTTAAAGGGTCTCGTGGACACTGGCATCACTACTCATATCATCCATCCCACCCTCCCAGAAAAAAAAAAGTTGCTTATTATAGGTTGCTTAATCCAGCATGTTAACATACGGAGGTAGGGAACCTGAGTCATAGGTACTTTTATCCTGATCACTTTTTAGATACACATAGACTTTTTTTTTCCTATTGATGTTACACTGAAACAAAGGATATGTAAACAGCCACCCTAGGGTAGGAACATACCTCTCTTATCTTGAAAGGCTAAATAAATCAAACCTTTCCTCCTTCCAAGAAAGGTGTTTAACCTTTTGTTACAACTGGTCACTCAGTCAAATGGCCGGAAGGTTGACTTCCTTCCATGAAAAGGGATCTAGAGGAGACTTTGGAAACTTGATTCTGGTAAGTTTCATTTCCATAATTGTCACGTAATTGTAATCTATAAGAATCTATTGTAAGCAAGCTACTCTTCTAGTCATTGCATGATCTAAAGAGATGAGAAGTGATCCTTGCCCTCAAGAAGATTACAATAGAGTAAAAAGAGATAAGATGTACGCAAATAACTTTAATACAAGGCACAATGTGATAAAGGTATTATTAACACCAATACTATAGGTATTCTATTCTTTCACAAAACTAGTGTTTCCTATACCTAAAATAGTGCGTATGATTTTTATTGCCACATATCAAGGAAGAGAAAGGGGAGCAAGAGAAGGGAAAGATCCAGAGGGAGAAAGAAAATGATAAGGAAGGAAGTGAATAAACATTTATGAAGTGCTCATTATGTGCCAGGTACTGTACTAAGAGCTTTGCCAATATTATCTCATTTGATCCTTACAACAACCCTGAGAGGTAGGTGCTATTATAATCTCCATTTTACAGTTAAGAAAACTGAGGCAGACCAAGGTTAAGTGTTTTGCCCAGGGTCATAGAGCTACTAAGTATCTAAGTAGCACTTGAACTCAGGTCTTCCTGAATCCAGGCCCAGTGCTCTAGGAAAAGGTACAGTAAAATCAAAATGTTCAAGGGGATGAAGGGAGTAGATTCTTTTATCCCATCAATCCATAAATCGTCAATTTGACCTCTGAAATATTACTCCTATCCTCTTCCCATAGCCAAGACTTAAGTGCAGTAGAACTTAAGCTTCTTGAAGGGAGGGACCATCCAATTTGTTTCTTTTATCCACAGCACCTAGGAAAATGCCTTGAACTCAGAAGGTACTTAATGTTGAATTGAATTGAATATAGGATTGCTCTTTAAAGGACTTGAAAAATATTTTTTATTAGGGGACAGCTAGGTGGTGCAGTAGATAGAGCTCTGGCCTTGGAGTCAGGAGAACCTGAGTTCAAATCCGGCCTCAGACACATGACACTTACTAGCTGTGTGACCCTGGGCAAGTAATTTACTCCCGATTGCCTCACCAAAAAGCAAAAAAAATATTTTTTTTTATTGAAATCTTTTGGTTTTGTATTTCTTTTTGTATTTTGTATTGGGGTTTTTTTGTATTTTTGTATTTTGGTTTTGTATTGCCTAAGAACCGATGTATCTTCTTCCTTCCTTTGTAAGGAAAAAAAATTTAAGGAAAATGAGAAAAAATTCAGCAAAACTGATTGATATATCCAAAAAATCTGATGTTATATGCAGTGTTCCCACCCCATTAACCCCAACCTCTGCAGCGAAGCAGAGAGGTGTCTTCTATCTCTTTTTGAGAGCCAAGTTCTCTATAATTTTGCAGAATTTATTTTTATTGTTTTATGATTATTCTTTCATGTGCATTTGCAATGGACTCTTAATCAGTTTCCTTACCTCTAATCCTCACTCACCTCAACCTCCAATCCCTCCTATACACTGTTATCATGTTGTTTCCTAAGACACATCTCTGATTACTTCTCTACCTTGATGTCCTGCTGATACCTCAAACTCAACATATTCGAAACTGAATTAGTCATCTTCCTTCCGGACATAGATATCTGTTTGTTGGTGGCATAGCTATTCTTAAAGTCACACAAGTTGGAAACTCCAGCTTATCTTTACCTTTCTCCTCTCCCTCAGCCCACATGTGCAATCATTTGTTTAACCTTATTTGTTCTACCTATACAATATCCCTTCCTTCCACAATGCCATTATCCTTGTTCGGGCCCTCATCATCGATAGCCTCCTTTTTCTAGTCTCTCCTCTTCCATCCATCCTTCAAATATCTGGCATATTGTCTTAAGTCATGCATCAGACCACGTTACTCCTCTGCTCAAACACTTTCAGTGTCTCTATGTTGTCTATTGAATAAAATATAAATTCCTTATACTGACATTTAAGGCTCTCACATAAGACTAATCCCAGTGTAATCTTTTTTCATACTTCCCCTACTTTGGACCACTCATTGTTCCCTGATCACATCCCAAACTCTTCTTCCTCTATGGATTTGTATAGTTCTTCATACATGCCTGAAATATTTATCTTCCACATCTCATCTAAGGCCTAGTTGAGGTGCCAATTCCTCTGTAAAGCCTTTCCTGATGGCCCACCCAACCTAAAAATTTTCCCTTACTTCAAATTTCCATATAACATTTTGAATGAATTTCTTCTTTGTCTTTGCCACATTTTGTTTTGGGGAGGGAAAAAGAGAGAGAGAGAGAGAGAGAGAGAGAGAGAGAGAGAGAGAGAGAGAGAGAGAGAGAGAAGGAAAGAGGGAGGTAGGGAGAGAGAGTTTATGTATATATAGAGTGTGTGTGTGTGTGTGTGTGTGTGTGTGTATATATATGTATATAGATGTGTATATATGTATATATATACACGTATATAGATGTGTGTATATATATATACACATCTATATACATATACACACACATACACATACATATGTTTGTACATAGTTGTTTGTATGTTGTCTTCCCCCTCCCAATTAGATTTTGAGCTTCTTGAGGGTAGAGACTGTATTTTTCCCACTTTTTTTGTATCCCAAGTACTTATTGCAGTGCTTAGAACATAGTAGGTACTTAACAAATAAATGCTTATTGATTTGGCTTGACTTGACATTCTCACTATAAATGAGACCACGTACGAAAAGAAGATGCAGCTACGTGAAAGGCTGGTTTATAGGTTCTCCTGTGAGAGGTAAATAAAGGAGCTGGTAAAATTGGTTTTTATCATGCATCCAAAGGCAACAAGAAACATAATTTTGGGGGACTCAGTCATTTTATATTTCAATGCTCATGATAAGCATTTGCAAAATGACCCTCATTAACCGATTAATAAATATAGTCTGGCACTATGCTATGTGCTGGGGGATGAAGAAAAAAGTAAAACAGTCCCTGCCTTCAAGAAGCTTGTATTCTCTCAGGAGAGATAACATGTATACATATATCTATGTACATGTACATAGCCACAATGAAGCCAAGAGCACATGATGAGTACAATTGGTGACTGGCCTATGATCATAGTCGTTATAAGAATATGTAGAGTGCTTAGCTGCTGTAATTCCCGTATAGCCATTGGAGCATGCATAGACGTTCTGTAACTGGTTCTGAGTTGCTAACCACATGGGAAATAGGAGCCTCTTTGATTGACCCTAAAGAGTGGCCTTTGAGGCTCAGACCAGCAATAGTTGAGACAAGGGCTATTCCAGCAGAATTCTGCATTTAGAAGTGAACTTAGTGGTAAGGCTATGCAGAAACTGCATTAAGTCTGAGCCCACTCTCCCAGAGACTGAGATGGTACGGGAGAAAGTGCATCACTGAAGTTCTGCCCAGAAATTTTTGTGCTTCTGTTCTTGCTAAATTCTCTAAGTAAATGTTCTTTTTGTAAAAGATAATGATGTTAATTGGTTAAATGAGAGTGAGATATTAGTCACTGGAAGTTAAAATGAGGGAAGGACAAGTAGGAAGGAGGGCTTAAGCTAATGGCATTAGAGAAAAGACTCTCCAACTCCTCAGAGGTATCCCTAG